GGCGGGTAAAACGGCTCGTTATTCGCGAACAGCTCGTGTTCGACTCATTAAGAAGCTCGTGGACTCGTTAATTTCGTTCGATAAATTAACGAGCTAAACACGAACAAAGATGTGTTCGTTCGTGTTCGGCTCGTTTTGGCTCGAAATACTTTTCATCAAGTTTATATATATATATATAAAAGTAGTATAGTAGTATTTTAAGAAAATCTACAAGGTTACAAAGATTTATAATCAATTAAAATATTGATTAAGAAAATAGAATAAAAATTCTTAAATTAGATTCAAATGATGTTTTAATATAAATAATAATTTTTAAATCTTGCTCAAACCCTTATCGTCTTATGGCTACGTGATTAGGGCTGTTAAAAGGACTCTTTGTTCATGAACAACTCGCGGCGTTGTGGTAAAGAGAAGGGAGCGAACACGGGGGAGCCATGAAACCTCAGCTCGTGTTCGGCTCGTTTACACCCCTAAACATTAGTTAATTTTAGTCTTAATGCAAGAGCTGTATTAAATTCGGGGTAGAAATGCAAAAGATAGATCATATATATTATTGCAATATTGCTGCAACAGCTGAGAAGAAACCTTGAAAAGCTCTCTTTTTGTTGATTGGATCCAAAACTAACTTCTCTCATCTTGCAAAATTTGTTTGCAGCGACACTCTGCACTGCAAAATCCTTGATCACCCCTGAATATAGTCATACAAACTCATCATTAAACGCATAATTAATTATGTTATAAACAATAATATAATATGGCAAATCTATGTTAAAATCAAGGTAGAAATGTAATTTCAGAGTCATATTAAAATTCATGTCTCAACATGATAATGTCTCAACATGATAGATACTTTTATATATATATATAATTAATGTGACTATAATGATCATGTTATAAGTCATATTATTCTAAAAAAATATAATTATATTTCAAAATTATTGTTATTTAATAAACATATATCACAACCTTTAGATATAATTTTTTTCGGCGAGAGAAGCATCAATTGCAACGCAAAATTATTGTGTATGGTGTACTGCATGTCCAAACAACGGAGATGATTCAGATATGTTATTGTGCATTTCGTTTGTTTAGATATTCGTCGTTGTTCGGACAGGGCAGACACCGTAGGTAATAATTTCTCCAATTTTAACTTAAAATTCTAATAATATGATATAAGAAATTTAAATGTAATTATTTGTGTATAATTTCAAATTTTATCCCTCCCCTACACCCTAAATTATAAGACTAATAATTAGGAGATTAATAAAAGCTAAAAAGTAAGAAAAAATGTTCTTCCACATACTATATGGAGGGACCCCAATTTATGAGCTCTCATTGTATCACACCTGCCTCATTTAATTTTTGACTAATCACATAATTAATACAATAATGACAACAATAATGCAATTGTAAGCTCCCTAAGAATATTTTTAATTAAATTCCTAATCATAAAAATATCATTATATAGTTCTTCATGCATTCAAATGAGAATTAGTAACATTAAACAATAAAGCTCTAAACTTTATAGGAAAAGATTACAAATTACCTATACATGTAGACTTCCTTTTGGAGGCTGAGTTTTTTCTTGCACAGAAAGCATGACTGAAGGAAATTTTCAGAGCAAAAATGGCGACTTTGAGCCTCCGGTTTCTTCTTCCAAGGCTTCACAGATGACATGATGACGACGTTGGATTTGCTACCTTGGTGCTGTTGTGTGAGGATTCTAAGGCCAACAAGCTTGCCTTCCCTTGCTTCTCTCACTGAGACTCCATTAATGGTGTAAAGCTCGCTGCTTTCTCTCCCCTCATCAAGGTGAAAGATATTGCTTGTTCTTGGTAGCATCTGGAGAGGAAGAAGAGGAGGAAGGAGGAGAAGGAAGAAGAAGAAGAAGAGGGAAAAGGATATTGATAAGAGGGGTGAGTGGATTGGAACAAAGTGATGGATATTTAAAAACATTTGTCTGGCACAAATGAACCATCAATTGTTTCACATGTCACAAATGAATTATTATTTATTATTGTTTCAGATTTTTTATGGTTTTGGTTGGGTCCCTTAAAAGTTATATAATAACTTTTTATTTACATTATTTTCATGCAAAAAAAAAAAAAATTTGTGGATGAGAAAATATTAGATGTCTATCATCTAAATGTGTGGAGGATGACGTGGATCACATTATGTCCTGTGTTTGACGACGTGGTACCATCCATGTTGTCGACCGAACATCTGATTTACCAGACGAATATTTTCTCTTCATGAACATGCATACATGACATGAATTAAAATGGAAGAAAATTTTTAGTGATTTAAGTAACACTGTGTGCTTCTATTAATTTGATTTGTGACTGCTGTTATTGAATTATATATATATATATATATTCTAATAATAATCCTAGATGAATATTTACAGTTCCTAGCAATTCCCAATGTATATATATATATATATATATGGAATTATTATTTATCAAAATTAAAATATACTCTTTAAAATAAATATGCTAATTTAGAAAAATGTAAATTTTAATTTACAAAAACACTAAACAGCATATAATAAATTTTAGAAAATTTGATAATTTGGCACATTATTTAATAATCTCTACTTAATTTTAAGTTATTTAAATTTACTTTAATATATAAATGATTAAGAAATGGGATATTTCAGTGACAAAAAACCCTAAACAAGTCTTGTTTTTTTTCTTCTTCCAAGTAATAAATAATTATGTTAGCTTGTTTTGTAAATATTTGTAAGGATTTTGTAATATCATATGAAGATATGGGCACTAATGTCAAAATTCACAAAATAAAGGAAAAGTGGAAGCTTATGATTTATGAAGTTAAGAGGATATTATTTAAAGAGAAAAAAAGGTTAATGTTAGGTTCTTGATTAATATTACTTTGCCATTTTAATGCTTAGTTTGGAAATATGCAAATAAAATTTGCATCTGCAGAGTCAGTTCTGGTTTGGCTGTTGTTTTCAACTAGCTGGTCCATTTTTTCCCACTTTATATTATTAGGGAATTTACATACATACCAATAACTTCTGTATGTATTTACATACACATTTAACACCTAAATTTTATTTTTTATTTTTATACCGCCTAGCTAATTATACACATCATATACAAAAAATATCACTATTCTCACTTTTAAAAAGTGAAATATACTTTTTCATTCATGTAAGTTGGCAAACATGTAAAAATTGAAGTTTAGATATGTAAATTTCTTTAATTTATTTTAGTTAGTTGTTTTTTTATTTGTTATATATGTTATTTTCCTATTTATAGACATGGAAGCTTTTTGTTATATAGAGAAGAAAGCAAAATGGGAATGAAAAGATAATTGTAAACATTTATTTATTTTGTTAGCATTTACTCATACTATCACATGTTACTTGTTTTAGTCTTGAAGGTCTGGTGTTCAAATGATAGAAGGCATGCCATGCATATGAGTTGATGCATTATTGGTGGCATACTAAAGGATTGATAAATAGAGTAGAAAATAATTTCTAAAAGGTTTGTTGCTTCTTAAATGATGTATCATCATTTTAGTATATGCATCTCCTCTCCCTAAAGAGGAGCATTATTAGAATAAGAAATCTCAAATTATAGAGATTTGATGTATATTTAGAAGATTATAAAGCTTGGTGAAATATATTTGTGTAGTCCTAAATAAACATTATAGTGATGAATATACACACTTTAGTATGACCAGCTTTAAAAGTGACATTTGGTCTTCAGGTAATCAGACCACAACATTTCAATGATTGATGTTATTAAACATGTGAACCAAATTCAGTGGGTCCCGCTCTCCTTAATAAGAAATTATGAGCACATGGTTTGAAGGCATCTACCATTAATTGGATTAATTTTATGATATCCTTTAGATTATAACTTGTGTTCTCTTATTTTATTGGTCCCTTACAAGTAATTTTCTTATAAGGGATCTCATATAAGTTTATAAATATTATTTTTTCTTTGCATAAGAGATAACCTACATTGTTTAGTAATCCTAAGTGAAACGACACTCTCCACGTATAACTTTCTTTTCATATGGGAAATTCTCCTCCTCTGCTAGTGGCTTTTCTTATTGTGAATTATTCATTTAGAATTTTGCATTATTTCTTTTTTTAATTTCATTATCAATTGCTAGATCAATTTTATAACAAGTGATATCAAAACAACATTTTTAGATTTTGATAATAGCAATAATAAAGTAAAAAAAATTCACTTTTGGATTGAACACAATAATTTGCTTTCACATGTTAAAATGTAGCTTATTTTGGCACAATCAAAATTAGATAATGTGTTGCTAGGATTAACAAGATGCCCTTATCATGGACATTAAAAGAGAAACAGTGCAAGAATCAAAAGACTTTATCTTAGATTTATCTTATCTATCAAATCAAATTTTATAAGATGTTTTTGAAGGATATGATAACATGATGGTATGATTAAAATTGAAATAAGTTGTGCATGATAAAAAAGTCTCACTTATAAGCAACATCAGAAGCAGCGTTTGCAATGGCTAAAGTTGCATCTCTTATAAATCACATGATTATTTTTGAAAAAAAAATTATTTATGTTTAGAGGTCATGGGGATCAAATATGATGAAATAATATTTATCATTAATACTATTATGCTCGATGTCTTAATCATATGTAATATTTAAATATATCATCGGAGACAATTATTTTGAATAAAAATTTTGATGATTTTTTCTCTAAAAAAAAGTGATGAACCTATTGCTCAACAAAAGAGAAATTCTAATACACTTCACAATTCGTCGTACTCCTAAAATAATTTTGTAGAGCAGAAGAATAAATTTATAATGAAGAAGGTGTGTTATACACTCTCCAGTATTGGACTACCAAAATTATTGAGTTGAAGCTACTTCTATAACTTATCACTTATCGAATCACTCTCCTTAAATTACCATTGGCAACAAGAGTCTATAGGAAGTTTAGTTGGGTAAACTTGTTGATTACTTTAATTTAAGAATTTTAGCTTGCCTTGCATATGCTTATGTTGATAGTTGTAAATTAGAACATAGATTTATAGATATTTATTTCTTACTTTAAAAAAATAAAATTAAGGGCTACAAATTATGGTGTCTGGAAACAAATAAAGAGATCTGAAATATAGATGTTCTATTTGATGAGTGTCATGTTACATACAACACATATTGCAAGATCTGCTGATCTTGATCAAGAGAAAAAATCTAAAAGATAAGTGTTGCTTCTGATGAAACATTTATATCTTCTAGCATAACTTCTCAATTAAGCTTGAATAGTCATGATGATGCTACTTTCTCATCACCATAACAACAACCAACTTATTAATCTAAGCTCAACTAATTTTTAATTGGTTAAAGTAAATCAAATCAAATCAAGTGTAGATTTAATCCATTCAAAATATGGGTTTCATAAATTTATGTTTAACTATATAGCCATGAATATTTTAGGATCCCAACAACTGAAGTCATAGTACTTAACTAACATCTAATTTCTATGTTAATATTTATTTATCTTGTAAATTAAAATAAAAGTTCAATAACTTGTAGGTTCAAATTTACAAAAAAAAGAACAAAATAGAGAATTAAACTCTAATTATTAATCAAATGCATCCACCAGTCACTAAAAGTATTATAAGCATTATATTATTGAAATATTCTTACATCATAACATAAGAAAATACAAAAAAAAAATCTAAGCAATTGAAGAACTTCCAAAATAATACATAAGTTTTAATATAAATTATCAAAGTGTAAATTCAATTTTAAAATTAAAAAAATATATTAAAATCATGCGTACCTCAAAATTTTCCAAAAAACCTATTGAAAACCTTGTTTTTAATTTAAAAAAAAAAATGATTTCATATCTCAAAATCAAACATAGGGGTGTAAACGAGCCGGACACGAGCTAGCCATGCTCAGCTCGTGTTCGACTCATTTATATTTCGAGCTCAAAAAAT